CACGAGCAGTTCGTATCAGCGCGGCATTAACCCCTTTTCACAGTGGCACAAATGCTTTTTCTTGTTTTACTGTCGCAAACGTTTACCGCACGGCACCAAGGGTTAATTGTGAAAAAAATAATTTAGCCCCCCGTGTTTACGTAACGCTTAGTGTGGAAGAAGCACAGTCCACTGTGTCGTGAACGCAGGTTACATAACCTCTGCAGGGAAAGCCCTGAAAACGAACGAACCCTGTTAGACACGTTTTTAACGAATGCATTCTCACATTCAGAGGGATCGTATCTTAACTCAAGATTTGATGCGCGCAGAGATTTATCATAGCTTTTTATATCACGCCAGGTGCAATCGGTAGTGAACACCTTGGGTTATGCACTCTCTCTTAAAATTACCACTGCCTGCCACGCCTGGGTTGGGGGAGGGGGAATGACCACAGACTTTTGACAAACCACTCGAGCTATAGCCAACTAGAAAACAAGAACTGCGGGTGAACGTGTCACAGTCACTTCGTGTTCCATTGAGCATTAAGGCGATGATCGTCTCATTAAGCCCTGACACAGTGGCAGAATTTCCACGTTCGCATGGTGAGGGCGATTACATCCACAGGGCAACCACTGTCGGCTTCCCCCACGAAACGGTACCTGTTTTATGATACACAAAAGGATTGGATATGTCAACCCCCAACCAGGATTTAAACTTGAAACCTTCCAATTGCGAGCCTCTAGATCTACCGCCGAGACATCTGGCTTGTGTGTGTGTAATCCATGGCAATGGAATGAAAAGGGCCAAACTGAAAATGAGAAGTCGGCACTGAGAACTGACAGGCGGCATGTGTCTCCACGACCACTGCGTATATCTCCGTCGCATCGCCGACTTACCCAACCAATTCTCACGCAGATTTGTATCTGGTGTGCTAAATGATACCGCCTGTCACTCTTTTTTTTTATCTGCTGAACTCTTCTTCTCTCACACAAGTTCCCCGCCCCCCCCCCTCTCTCTCTGTGTGTGTGCAAGCAGAGCTGTGAGATGCGGCACACAGCTCGATCAGTCACTCGTACGCGTAACGGAGAAAGGTGAGCCAATCGGTGGGGAACACAGTGCTTAAAAAAAGCAGAAAACGACCCGTGACATAACAGTTCCTCAAGTATTTACAAATCTCAGCGGGGCAGGACAGCACCAAGAAAATCATGGAAGCTGAATTCAACTGGAAAATCTTTGACACGTCTTCATTGGCAATGATCACCAACCGCGGATAAAATGCCACGTGATGAAAACCAAGTAGAACACACACACACACAAGTAGAACACACACAGATATGCCAGCCGACAATTGCACGTGAGTTGTCACACACCAGCCAGTTACTCGATGCAGCTTTTGACATACCAGGTCCAGATTTTTTTCTTTTGCGAATATGAAAAGCAACCGCCTATTTGGTGCCAAAGTGTGTGACATGCACGCATTCATAAGCACAAAGACAACCGCTAACAAAACATCTGACAAACGACAAGGGATAATTGGAAAATAGGTCCCAAAAAAAACTCACTCAACCCTCAACTGGTGCCACACAAGATACAATGTTTTCAATTAAACTACTCAATCATAAGCGATATTTTTGAATTGGCCTCATGCTTTCAAACAAATGGGCATGAATATGTAAGCAGAGAAATCACCAGCAAAATACTGAAATCTGAAATCGTGCGGCAAACAGTCGTCTCTTTGGCAAAACCAGAAAATAAAACAGCAGTCAAGGAAAGAAGAAATGTAAAAAAAATATTCAAAAAGGGAAGAAAAAAAATAAACCGGGCAACGTGCCTGCATGAGGAAGTCTAGTAACTTCCATGGCACCTAAGCGCTGCCATTAATATCCAGGGGGGTGAAAGGTTGCACACAGGCACACGCGTAGGAACACATGCATCTAGGCACGCACGCGCACGCTCCCTCGCATAATGCCGCTGGCACCGTGCCAGGCTTGCGGCAGCCAACGGGAGGCAGCCAGGGGACCCACGCAAGCTCAGTCACCTGACCCTGCCCCAGCCACACGCAATCGCCGCAGGAAAAAAAAGAGGTTGGTCTCAAAGGGTTGGAGGGTTGGGGGAAGATTGGGGGATATCTGGGGGCGGAGTTGTTGTGTGGAGGGGGTGGTGGCGGGCAAGCAGAGTGGGGGGGGGAGGGAAGAGACGGCTGGTAGCAAGGGAAGGGTGAGGAGGGGAGGGGCGGGGGTACAGAAATGCAAGCCCCTCGTATGACAGCACCAGCAAGATGGCATCAGCTCACGTCAGCAATCACTTCCTGAACCAAATCCCTCCTCCTTCTCACCGCTGTACAAGGCGATTTTTTTTTCTGTGTGCGTGCGTGTACAGGCGTTCTGGCTACAGGCAAAGGTGGCCATGTTGAACACGCCGGACAAAAGCAATGGGCTGAAGAAGGCACGCAGGGGGTGACAAGGGTTATATTAATTTCAGTTGCTTCGCCTATTCGCCATTTAAAATTTATTTTTTGGGGGTGGGGGAGGTATTTTTATTTATTTTAATAGCATTTTCTGAGCGAGGATGCAGAATACCGGAGCGCCAGAGGGCATTTAAATAAGATTCCACATCACGACCTAATTATGCAGATCTTTTAACATCTCTGAAAATGGCCGCATATTCTCAGTTCCCTCCACCTCAACTACAGCCGTGCCAACTGACTCCCAACTATGGCGGACGTGCCACAATTTTTTTGCACAGATTTTTTTTGGGGGGGGAGGGGGGGGGCGGTTTAAATAAATTAAAAAGTCCCAAACTGGATATTATACAGATTTACCTCTGTGTGAATACAGTAATAAAGCAGCTGCATTGGTTTTTATTACAGAAGCCAAGGAATGCTTGGGGAGGAAAGAGGTTGAATGATGACATTACCTATTGAAATAAGAAGTGCATGTCACATATAAGAGACCATGAAAGTTTTCCAATAGATTTTTAAAAATGCATTTTACACATTTTCAAAGCATGTATCTCTGTGTTTGACCCCTATCTGATTAATTTATACAATAAAAGCAGTACACATTAAATATAACCACGAGAATGTGTTTGACCATGTGAAAGAAAACGATGTGAATGTGGGCGGAAAAGTCTAAAAACTATCTTCGAGCTTGAGTTTTTAAAATATATTTAGTTTTGCTTTAGAAAATAATTTGACCCATCACTGCACAAATATCACCCACACTAAGAGTCACTCAGTTTTTACACAATTACTTACAAAAAGTGGCACATTTTCTACAAATTTGGGAGTCCATTTTTGCAGATTATGTTCAACGTTAACTTTTTACGATTTTCATCAAAAGCTGAAGAATTACTTAACCAAAGCAAATTTTCACACGAGCTCTGATAAATAAAACAAGTTTTTCTATTAACATTTCTGAACATCTCTGCATTCAGAAGATACATTGCACAAGTGCAAATACATTTTTTGGGCTCTACTTCTAATGTGTCTAAGACAATTGTCTTTTTCAACATGCAAAAGCCGGAACATAAAAATGTTGAATTGTGAGGTAAGTGACAAAAATAATACATCGAATCCCACAATTATGGCTTAAATAAAAATGTAATAATTACAAATGGAGTGATTCATATGACAAATGTAGACTTTTAATCTCAGAATAAATTTCCCACAATTCTTGTACAAGTTCCACTCATTGGGCTCTCTACGAAAGCATAAGACGTCAAGAAAAAAGACAAAGAAATTTGAAAACTAAATCTGAACCGAATGAAATTTTACGTAGTCTTACATGTATGAGACACGTGTAGAATCACACAAATTGCACTGCAGATAACGCTATCAGAACCAATTTAAACAAAAAAGGAATTCCACACCTAATTTTACACATCTTGCTTGCGTTATTTTATCGACATATGCAGAAGATACGTGACTACTGTGGTGGCAATTGTGAAGTACTTCAAGTGATTGTGCTGGGATGTTGGACAACCTCGCAAATTGATTTTTTTTTCAATTCACCTTGCTTAAGTGGAGTTTTACCCCCACTCAGGTCCTCCTAATGCAACATTGCGAAGCACAGAGGACAATCGCCACCGCATTCGAAAGTGGGGGGTTGAAAAAGTGATAACGCACAACAAATGCAAATTCAAAGAGAAAAGGCTTAAGCACTCCGGTACACAACACTCTCTGGGTTGTCACACGTTCCAACTAAGCAATTTAAATTGTAATGGGATCACAAGCACAGCACTTTCTTGTGTAGTCCATATAGTAGTCTACATAATGGGATTTTCCAGGGTGATCTCTTTTCCAGGCACGTAACAAAAGGTAAATTGAAATGGACTCCAGTTCACATTTTTCCCGCAACTACTTTAATGCCGGTGTTAAACTTTTTAACATTGGCAATGAATACTAAAAGCAGCAAGCAAGATTTCTCGGTCAAAAAAAAGTGTAGAAATGAATGAGCTATCCTATGTTATCACCGCTGACTAATGGAATGCAATCTGAAGTTAAATAAAACTTCGCATCGGGTCTGCGATCCTTGAATATTGCAACCGGAGGTTTTTAACAGATACTGTGTTTTGAATATGGAAGCTGTCACAGTGTCATCGTTCACACACATGACCTGCAATCCAGGTCACCAGTTCGATTCCATCTCCCAGCACGGCAGTTGAAACAATGTGGCAAATTTATTAACTCCTCCCTCGTCACCTCTATCCACCCATAAGTTATAAAAGGGGTACACCGATTAGTCAATCAGCAGGTCACGTGCAGTGGGGTGACCGTCTGGCAACTCCCACCTCTCCCAAGCAGTCTGGCCAAACGTGGAAGAGTAGGCCAACATCTCCGTTAGAAGGAAGGGCTCTTTAGAGCTCTCGCTCGCCGCAGTTGAGTGAACAAGCCAATGCAGTGCCGCACTTTACCCTTCTACCACTTATTTAGCTGCCGTGCGGATATAGCGGGGTACGCAGACATAGCGGGGTACGTGGACATAGCGGGGTACGTGCACAGCGCTGCGGAGCTGGATTACTTGCGTGCTTGTCGGCGAGCGAGATGAGGTTGCTCGAGATGTCTCTCCGACGATAGAAGCATACCACTTTCGCTTCCACGTTCCCATTTGCAGTCTGTGCAGAAAGAGAAATTACAGAAGGGCAATGACATTGTCATTATAACAATGGAGTTCGCTCAAAGTGCCAACTCAGGAACACAGAGCTTGGGCAATTGTTGGCGGCAGTTCTGGACGCCTTCCCGCTCGTCTGAGGTTTCCAGCGCGTCCGTGTAAAAACCGTGTTCATTACAGAATCTGCAGAATTTTGAGACATGAGCATAAATAACGTGATATATGAATTGAAAAAACACATGTATTCTTATTATTTTCAACTGATATTGTTGCACACTTTCCCCGACGCACATGAAGCTTGGTTTAACATGTAGGCTTTCGCGACCAATATCATCCGTAAGAGAGGTTTTTTGGTTAGATCGCGTAAATATATAAATGTGTCGTTAAAACCCGCCACCACCCGACACAGCCAACTAGTAAGCGTTGTCACGTAAACAGAACATGCCAATTCGTCACTAGTACAGCACACCAACAGCCAGATGAAGCTAGTTGTAATTACTGGCGAAACGTCGTACTCAGTTTTGTAAATGTTGTGGCTTGGCTCTCCAACACACCGGTTAGTGCTGTACTAGTGACTAATTGGCCACGTTCTGTTAACGTGACAACCCTTACTAGTTGGCTGTGTCGGGTGGTGGCGGGTTTTAACGACACATTTATACATTTACGCGATCTAACCCAAAAACTTCTATTATGAACACATGAAGCTTATTCAGAAGGGGGCCAATTTTAGGGTTCTGATTTTTTTTCATTTACCAGCCTAAGGCTCCTGTTGGCAATGGTGACACCACCACAGAATATAAAGACTACTTAATGCTGGATGGAACAGCAGGGTTAAGTCTTACATAACAAAATCAGTTTTGATCTATCCATTTCTGGATGAAGGCCTCCCATCACACCATTGCAACACGACAATTCATCTCGCTCACATAGAGCGGTTGCGCTCATCCCCCTCCTGCCAACCATGCTGGTTGCTTTCTCAGGCGTATTCCCCTCCTTCAGCTGGCACTCCATCACTAATCTTGTCCATCGGTCATGATCCCTTGTCATGATGTGGCCTAACCCAAGCCTACTTTTCTTCACAATTAAGCAGATACAGTTTGGGCATACCAGAGCCACTAGCAAAAAAAAGCAAGCACAACTGTCTCATCCTCCCAAGCCACGTTTGATAGTATTTTGCCAATAACCAACGGAAGCATAACAACGCTATTTCAGTTTCCATAACCTTTTCATCAAGGCTGGTCTTCAGGTACTGTAAGAAAATAAGCTGACTACATATCACTTTAACACCCTGTACAAACACACTCACAATGCTTCAACAGCCCAGACAGGGTAGTTAAAAGAGACTACAGTATATTTAAGCATATTTTAAACAAAACGTGGTCGTAAACTCCTCCACATGTATCCCCAGGCAGACAGGAGAAGAGGAGAAACACCTCATTATTTGTCCTGCAGGAAATGTATTAACCCTATTTTCATATTCTTAGGTTTTTTTTCGGTAAAGTCACGTAGGTAAAAAAATTTAAATTAATAAAAGTAAAATAAAAAATAAAAATAAAATAAAAAATCACGACGTTTCGGAGGCGACACAAGCTTCCGTCTTCAGGTGGAACCGTCACAGCACGACAGCTGAAGACGGAAGCTTGTGTTGCCTCCGAAACGTCGTGATTTTTTTTACTTTTATTATTTTGAATTTTTTACCTACGTGACTTTACCGAAAAAACCTAAGAATATGAATCCTTGCAGTCACGAAAGCTTCAAATCTAGAATTAACCCTATTTTCTTAAAGCTCTTTGCCCACAATCCATCCTGGTAGATCATCAGTGGAGCGAGCGGCTCACAGTCAAAAGGCTGAGGAGTTCAAATCCCTGTTTTCGGGTTGACCGTCAATCATTCCTTTGAAGTCAGAAAAAAGTGATTGCCCTATGGATAAACTTTCCCCCGCCATAAGAATATGGAATATCCACTCCCGACGACTCAGGGTTGTAAAAAAAAGAGATGAGCACCACCTCATTGCTCATTTGAGCAGGAAATCACTTTGGCTTGCTCACTGCTCGTTACAATAGTCCAGGAATGAGAGTAATACAAGGCTACACTGCCTTGTAGAATGGGCTCCACAGCTAATGGAAATTTCATGCACTGGAGATTCTGGAGGTACAGAAGTGGAGCAGTGTTTTTTTTACCAGTACCCTGCGAATAACCGATCCTACCTCGTAAACATAATCCAATCTTTCTCAGGACTTAATATTAACACATGCTACCAATTGCCGTGTCGACATTCCATGATGATCAGAAAAAATGCAGTGGAAAATAAAAGGACGTCATAAAACATACGAGGCAATGTCTTGGCCTTAATATAAACCCTCATCCTACTCTGATGCTACTCTGATCCAACCAATATGCAATTTGTAATTTGCAAAGCAAAATGTTTTACATTTGTCTTAATTTCTCAACTCACTGCCGTGGTGAAATGGCCAGCACACTGGACTTGCAATCCAGAGGTCAGATTCAATTCGATTTCCCAACAGGGCAGATTAAACAATTGCGTAAGTTTCTTTAATCCCCCCCACTCGTCTGTCAACCCAGCAGTATAAATGGGTACACCACAGTTAGTCAATTGGCAGCTTGCTGTGATCGGGGTAAAGCCTGGGTATTTACAAAACTTCCAATATGTCTAACCAGCACGAAAGAGCAGATGAAATACACTCTATAGGCTCTCTATAGAGCTCCTTTTGGTGGTGGCTCATTCCACCAGCAAGTGGCATGAGCAAGCAATTGCAGGGCTGCACCTTTACTTTTAATAATTTATTGAACAGCTTTCAAACTAAATATCGATTTAAAGCGTTCGTGACTGCAGGGATTCATCTTCTTGGTTCTTTCGGTAAAGTCACGTAGAAGGAAAATAATAAAATAATAATAATAAAACATAATAAAATAATTCTCACGACGTTTCGGCCACAACGCAAGCAGCCGTCTTCAGGTGGAGAACGAGTCTCAGACTCTGCCTTCTCGACAGACCTGTTCTCCACCTGAAGACGGCTGCTTGCGTTGTGGCCGAAACGTCGTGAGAATGATTCTATTATGTTTTATTTTTATCATTTTATTATTTTCCTTCTACGTGACGTTCCTGAAAGAACCAAGAAGAAGCTTTCAAACTAATCAATCAAAAACAGCATTTGAACAGTTCAATGCTTGGGGGGGGGGGGTGGATAAATAAGCAGGAAGTTCTTTCCACTTGAATGCTTAGTTACTTTTTGCAGAAACAAGGCACAGTAGACTGCGATAAGAAAAGTTTGTAAATGGCTGTCATATTTTCAATCCGCATGTTAACATTACGACGCAGGTCAAGGCACTGTCACCTATACCTCAACATCAGCCTACCAATTTAACCACCCCAAAGCGTACCAACGCGAGAAATAATTTCCCAGTGCGCGGAAACTACGTGGAACCATGAAGGCTTTCACGGGTCCACTAAAATCTTCGACGATGAAAACAGTTTACAGTCCCCCACATGCTGGGACAATGCAGTTTAAGGTGGTGAACATCCAGCATAAGTAACTAATTCACATTTGTGTTGGTCCATCCGTGAGATATTGTATCAGTGGCAACACTCACAAGCATATTGTTTGTCAGAGAGAAAAGTGGAGGCTCATTCTGATCAGAAGAAACAAGGAACCTACAGTATTGATGAGGAGTTAGGTAAGACATAACCTTGACAATGGTCAAAAACAACCATGACAAACATTTTCACCATGCCAATATTAGTGTTCAAGACATTTCTAAAGTTGTGGCTACGTTTGCAAAATGAATACAAATCTGAGTCAAGTGTGGGGGACAAATGTAATATTTTTGGGAGATTATAACAATATTTCACAGGCATTTCTCTCATACCATGCACACACAACTTAGTGACCAGGTGAGGGCCCATTAAAAGAAAGTATTTTTTCAATGTAGACCTGGGAATACCAGATTAGAATAAATCCTTATATACATCACTAATATACCACTTTATCAAAGCCTCCTGATATTGTTTAGTATTCACCTTCTCTGCAGTGGTATGCGTCTTTCCTAATAGCTACTGGGCATGCAACAATGCAATGAATCATCGATTCATATTGATAATTTCACTCACGATACGTGCGTTGAATTGAGCATGTCACAATCAATTATTCAAATTCATGCAAATGATATGCGGATGAATTTTGGGATAACTTAGCGCATAAACATGTATAAACGAGACTGAAAACACATTATTCCAAATGAGATGATAAAAATACGTTTTTTTATTTTTATAATCAATTCTAGACTCAATTCATTCCATGCCCACTGGCTAAAACCAACCAATGTGACACTGACAGTTCATGGTGTCTCAATTTGGTGTCATTGCAAAACATTTTCATAACAGCATTTCGAGGCAAGGCACAACAATATATAACAATGTATACTTGTTGAAAGCACGAAAGCCACACAAGTGAGATAACACCGGACTTTTACGTATTACGGCACAGACTGTAATTGTATTAACAACACTGAGGAGGATACATTACTGAATTATCTAAATAGTTACTTCAGGCAAGGTGGTACAATCTGGCAGCGATGATTTCATGGCAGAAGCCCTTTCACTGTCCTGGAACTCGTTACCTTGTTAAGTTCCTCTATTCTTCGTATTAAGTAGGGGTTGCTTGAGGAGTTTTCAAAGAAGACATAGTCTGAAAGTAGACAAAGAGTAACAAACAATGTTTATGTCATTAAATGCACAGGTTTCATAATCGTTTGACTATGTGCTTTACGTGTTTGGATTGGTCATGTAGTCGTTGGCCCACTGCGTTATGAGCCCGGTGACCTGGTTTCGATTCCTAACCAAGGAAAACATTGGTGGAAAGTTATACGTGAACCTACTCCTGGGTTTCCCTCAGATTATACGGTAATCATAATTTACAGCTGTTCATAAATAAAAAAAAGAACATCTCCCCACACCATGTCAATTTCACCATACTTCACCACACTTGATAGTGGAGATTGGTGACGTGGGATAATCCAGGATCGGTTCAGATATTATTTAACCACTGATGTTATCCGTGGCAGACAGAAATCGTACTCCGGTAGCCAGATTCCGAGCGCAGTGAGTTTATCACTGCGCCACCACTTCCCACCCCTTAGATGAGTACCTGGTGCAATGTTTAAACATAGGAACATCTTTTCTTTCCGTGTTAAGTATTGTACACTCTTAAACACAATATTGCATTCATTTGTAGCGTTAATTATTTGTTACTACAGTACTAAAATACGCAACAACGACTACTACTTTTCTATAGGAGGGCAAGGTGGGTTGCACACCAGTACTCAGGGGTTGGTGGATGACATAAATCTGTGAAACTCCCAAACACTATTGACTGCGAAGTGGACTGGATATGGCAGTATACAGCAAGTCGGTTCATGAACCCATTCATATGGATCTCTGCGTATTATCCCCTTGCATGTGTGGTCGATGTTTTCTTGGTAATCCTGTTTCCTTCTCCACAAGCAAAATTCTCATTAAAAAGGGAATTTACCAAATATATCAATTCACAGCCCTCCTGCAAAAAAGGCCTTCAGACTCAAATGAGATTTTCCTGGATAAATAAATGACAATTATTGCACTGTATTGTCATCGTTTTTGTGTGGTCGCCAAGTGAAAGCCATTGTGGAATTTTACATAACGCTTACAGTGCGGCAGACGTTTAATGGCATCGTGTATGTGTGGTGGTGGCGATGGGTCGTGTGTGTGTGTCTGTGGGTTCTTTTAATCCAAAACTTTTATCAGGAATAAACTGCGGCATTTTGTGTTTTGTAGGAATTAGGGATACGTGGATGCTGTTGCCACCGATGCTGTGTAAAGCCATGAAGATGAAGGTGCCGGCACAAAGCGTTCACACACACACGCCTACATATTAAACAGGGCACGGTGCGGGTAATGACCAACAGCCGACACCACGGTCTCGCCATTATTGTTTTCGGGTTTTTTTTTCCTTGACACGATCTACGCTCTGCAAAATCCCGCAGCACAATTAAGCCAATGCGACACGAACACGACCCGCGGTTATCACGCACATAGACACACACACACTCTCCAACACATTTAAAGGTTTACTAACAAGAGAACGAAGGTAATGACGGTGATGATAGCCATAGCGTAATGATAATAAAAGACATGAGGAACCCACCCACACACACGTACACGGGTATGGCATGAGGAAAACGAAAGGAAAAAAAACACACACAAGTGTGGCGGCCGCCTCGCTCGGGACGCGGACCCAGCGAGTAGGGGTATTGTCGAGATCGATCCCTGGGGTTCGGGAATCGGTAAGGACACTGTCGAGGAAGGATGCCTAGGACTCGGGATTCAGGAGGGCATTGCCTGTGACAGATCCCTGGAACTCGGGACTAAATGAGGACATTGTCGAGGACAGATCCCCTGAGACTCGGGACTCAGGGAGGGCATCGTCTGGCACTCGGTGAGGGGCACTGTCTGGGACATGATCCCGGGGACTCAGGACTCAGTGAGCGGCATTGTCTTTGATAGAATGAGAAAATGTGAAGATAATGTCTAAGAAGAAGAAAACCCCCGAGGACTTGGGAGAGAGCATTATCAGGGATTAGCTCCGGAGACTCAGTGAAGCATGTCTGGCACAGACCCTTGAGATCAGGGAAGGGTGCTGCCTAGAACGATTACTGGGACACACAGGACTCACTGACTGGGATAGGTCCGTGATAGTCAGAAAGCAGTGAGAGCATTGTCTAGAATTAGTTCCTTATATTGCCAGTGACAGATAGTTGGGGCTTCGATCTCATTTAGAACATTGTCTGTGACAGACCCCTGAGACTCAAGACACGATCAGAACAATATCTGGGATAGAGAGAACCCCCCCCCCCCCCCCAATCAGGGAAGGGTGATGTCTAGGCCTCCTCAGACTCGGGACTCGTTAAGGGCACTGCCCTGGACAAATGCCTGTGACCGAGGGAGAACAATGTGCAGGACAACTGCTGGGACTCGGAACCCGGCAAGATTGTTGTCCGGACCAGGCCGCTGGAAATCAGAACTCAATGGAAGCCTTGTCGTGACTCAGGAGGGCAATGCCAGGACTGATCCTTTGGATTAGGGGAGTGCATTATCTGGGAAGGAACTTTAAGACTCAGAACTCGGTGAGAACTTGATCTGGGACAGAATGCGGCAATCAAAAGAAGTCGTTTAGAAATAGCTCTTCGTCTCGGGACTCCATCAGAGCATTGTTCAGGACATATCCCAAGGACCAATGTAAAGAATTTCCCCGGACATATTCCTGTGTACACGGTACTAAGCAGGCAACTGCATGTGGCAGATCGCTGGTACCAGGTGACAGCATGATCCGGAAAAGATCCCGGTACTCAACGAGGGGATTTTCCAAGAATATCCCTGAGACTTAAGGAGCGGACCATTGCTCAGAAAAAAATCGCTCGGTAGGCAATGCCCGGGACTGGTTGCCCGGGGGGTCATCGCCTGCGACAAAACCAAGTCCTAGCCTGGCGGCATGCGAGGCGGCATTGAACCAGGCGACCAGGAGAGTCAGAATACGTCAGCCCCTGGCTGCCCCGGGTCGACGGGACGTGCCCGCATAAGGCGACAACAAAAGCCACACGCACACCCTAACAACCTACTTTGCATTGTTACAGCATCGTGTGTGTGCTGCACGCTGTGCATTGTTTATGCATGCACACATTCACATTTGCATACAAAGTGACATACCTAAACAGAAAACATGCACCGAATGTGGAACGAAGCACACGCATGTAACGTGTAAAATATATATATACCGCAGATATTCTTTACATGCAATACACAAAATATGGGGTGGTCGCTAAGTCTATATACCCTCCCCCCCTTCACATCTTCTGAGTCAAACAAGGTTTTAAGACGAGAGGGTAGGGTGACTTCCCGCCCACACACAAACACGTATGCGAGCGAATTCTTGGCATGCACGACAGCACAAAGGGACATCCATTAGCGTGCACACGTGTGCACCTCCGCGTGGTGCACACGTGTACTCACTGTACATACTGTACAGGGGGGAACTACACGTTAGGCCGCTGTTTGCTTGTGCACGTGCCAACACACGGGGGGGACACAGCCACACGAATGGTCACAGCGCATACTGTAAATACTGTACACGTTGCATAACAGTGTGACGCCATGGGTGTACAGTTGAGCCGTGTGATGATTCAGATGCACACGTGTGTATTGCCCCATGTGCATGGCATGCACCGCACACGCGTGGTGTACACGCTAGATTGTGTACACGAGGATAACACAGAGGGTGTATTGTGTAAGCAAGCACTTGTTTTAATGTCGTGGTGGTACGAGCTTGCAGTATGTGTGTGTGTTGTACACGTGTCCTTGTCAATGAGTCTACTCTTGGATGAGGACTTCCTCCCACACCGCACAGAGGCGTGGGAGGTTCTGTTGAGCTTACTTCACCAAGCTGGTGTGTTTTAAAAGGTGTAAATATAGGTACTGTGGTCCGGTTTGCGCTGCTGTGCGCGCGTGTTGCACCATACACGTGCTAAGTCGTGATGCATGAACATGCGACTGGCACATTGAAGGCAAAAGCTCGTAGCCGATACATAAAACACATGCATGCTTGACATCGAGTACAAACTACACACGTAACAGATGACACGTGCATGTACGATTCATATAAGACACACCTAACAAGCAACATGAAATATACGCATGACACACAACATGTATATACCATATATAAAAGCTACACTTAGCATGTAATATGAAACAATACCTTACCGTGAACAGGGCGAATAAAACATGCACTTAATGCCAAACGACACAAAATGTAACATAAAACATGTAACACGCGTAATATAAAACATGCATGTAACATAAACCAAGTTCTTTACATTCACTATCTAACATAAATCACGTAACGTAACACATAAAACACACTTCACGTGACACGCTTACTTAAACGTGACGGCTAACACATAAAACACACACTTAACATGTGCGTTAAGTGACTTAACACACAAAAAACACACACTTAACACATAAAACACGCACTTTTGAGCCTAGAAAACACACTTAACATTTAACACTTAGGGTGAATTACTTACCACGTGAAACACACACAGACTTCGCACATACAATACGCACGCGTCAGACTAAACACTGGCCGAGTATCACTTTCATTGGTCAACTCCTTCATATTCTCACTCACTCTTCACTCATTATTAAATAGCACAATTGCGTTTAATTCGTTCCTCTGGACACTTAGCACCCACCAACTTACTCTTATTAACTCATTACTATTAACCATTTCTTAAGAGTACTTCACGCTACGATATTGCACTCTTTCACTAGAATCTAACTTCACCCACCAACACCACTGCCGACCAAGTGTATCCCTTAATAGTCAATTGTTATAACTCTTCACCAAAGACGTGTCATCACTACTTACCTTACTGAAAGTACTAAGTACAACAATGACACATTACTACTACTCTGCAACACTTCCCCAGTCTTCGCCTTGCTCGCTCATTAACACTCCTTACATCTTTACTCTTCACACTCACTTCTAACACTTCTAACTCATTCTTTCAATTCACACGATCGCCTATCTCCCCCCCACCCTTACTATTCACTCCGTGCTAATCCTTAATCTTTACACCGCAGTTGTCCCCACTCTACTCTTCCTCACTCACTCCGCCAAGATGTTCTTCTCAACATTGACACGTTCGTTCTCTCTCCTCACCACTCTTATTATGTTCCTTATCACTTTGCCACTCGCTTTACTCACCAATCACATCCTCACCACTTTAGCACCCACCTCTTCTCACACTCGCATCACTCCTCCCCATCATCTCCTTCACTCGTGCCACCACTCGTCACCCTCTTACCTCTCTTCATCGCGTACCACCACTCTTCAACTCCCCTCACCTCTTTGCCTTCCTATTGCTCACTCATTCCTCACTCATCCCCACCACCACTCACCCTCACCACCACTCACCACCACCTCCCACCCTCACCAACCCCCTCACTACCACCACCTCCCACCCTCACCCCCCTAACCACCACTCACCACCACCACCACTCACCCTCACCACCACCACTACTCACCCCCCTCACCCTCCTCACCACCACCACTCACCCTCCTCACCACCACTCACCATCACCCCCTCACCACCACCCCTCATCCTCACCACCACCACTCATCTCCTCACCTCCACCACTCACCTCCCACCCCCCTCACCACCCTCACCCCCTCACCACCTCACCCCCCTCACCACCCTCACCACCACCCCCTCACCCTCACCACCCTCACCACCACCACCCCCCTCACCCTCACCACTCACCCTCACCACTCACCACCACTCACCCTCACCACCACTCACCTCCCACCCCCCTCACCCCCCTCACCACTCACCTCCCACCCGGTACATGTTAGCAGCCATTGCAGCTGGGCAGGTTCCTCCACTTGAAAGGCGGCGATGTCAATTCGTTCTCTTTTTCCCCCCAGGAGTTAGCCGAAGTAGCGACTCTTCCCCGCGTCTTGCGAATCTTCGATATTGTTTATCGATTAATAAACGTGAATTGTAATCCTATCTTCCCTCAACACCTCGCGAGGCCGGCGCGCAGTAACGTTCAACACTTTAACGCGCCCGTCAAGTCAATTCACTCAATGCGCTCTTCTTCTCCTTGCTATCTTCATCATCAGTCCCCAACAATTATTAATATTATAATTCAGTTGTATTTCTTATTAATGTCTCGGAAGCGCTGGAGGGGAGGGGGGGAGGGGAGGAGGGTGGAGGAAGGGGGAGCTCCTCTGATGGAAAGGTGGCAACACGCGATTCAAACGCATTTTAAATACTACATTTTTTAAGACGTAACAAAAACTAAACTGGGGGAAAAAACACTACAGTTCCCTCACGGAAATTATAATCCGGTTAATTAGTGAAAAATTAATTAAGTAAAAAATAAAAAGCGGGAAGCGAGCGGCGCGCGCGCGCGACGGCGAGAGGCAGCGCGAGGCGAAGTGAGGGGTGGGGGCCACTGTGGGGGGTGAGGGGCGGGGGCACAGGGGGACGGGGGGGGCGGGGCGAGAGGCGAAGTGAGGGGTGGGGGCCACTGTGGGGGGTGAGGGGCGGGGGCACAGGGGGACGGGGGGGGGGCGGGGCGAGAGGCGAACTGAGGGGTGGGGGCCACTGTGGGGGGTGAGGGGCGGGGGCACAGGGGGACGGGGGGGCGGGGCGAGAGGCGAAGTGAGGGGTGGGGGCCACTGTGGGGGGTGAGGGGCGGGGGCACAGGGGAACGGGGGGGGGAGGTAAGGGGCGGGGCGAGAGGCGAAGTGAGGGGTGGGGGCCACTGTGGGGGGTGAGGGGCGGGGGCACAGGGGGACGGGGGGGGGGAGGTAAGGGGCGGGGTGCGATGGAGGATGAGGGGAGGGGCGCGGGGGGCGGAGGGTAGTTGGCCCGAGGGGGCAGGGGGGGAAAAGTCGAGACGAATCGATTCGCTGTCTATAAGAATCGAAGAATCGTAACAATTCTCTGTATGCATCGATTACGAAATCGATGTTTGCTGTGATGTGCGTGACTAAGCTTGTCTGTCGTTCCAATAAAGATTAATCGATGAATTGTCACACGTTCGGCGCACGACTCGATTCACAATTAGATTTTTTTTCCCTTAATAGTCGTGCTTAGATAACATACAACGTTAGAAATATGTAGCGTATTTCGTGGTGTAAATCGGCACTACCATACTTTGTAGTGTCATAATATAACGAAGAGACTGCCGTAATCAATTAATATAACGCGAATCGATTACTAAATCGCAGTTAACAAAATCGATTTATAATTGAGTTTCAGCTCTTGACCCCACATTCCGGGAATCTAAATCCCTTAACAACCTTATCGGTCGAAATAACCTATTTATAAAACACGTGAGCGATTCGATTAATTCGTCGCAATTCTCGTACGCGATTGGAATCGACGAATCGTTCTACCACCACTGGGTGGGCGGGGCTACCTCTGCCCCCCCCCCGACCGTGACGTCACGCTCATTATCCCCGCCTCACGTCCCCTCCCCCTCCTTCCGCAGCCCTCCCCCCACCCACTTTATTAGCCCCCGCCCCTTGCCCCTAACCCCCCCTCCCCTCCCCACACAAGACACAGACAAAGATCCCCCGTATAGTCTTTCACAGACTGGAGTAGCAAGTGCTGTTAGCAAGACCGGCACGGTACAGCATCACAGTGGGTGACCAGCACCACGCCCGACCGCATTTGTCTCCCTTGGTGGCGATGTTTACACACCGCACCAGGTACTCATCTGAGGCTGAGTCGACCTAGGGGAAGCCCAGTACCGGTTAAGATTATCATCGTCACTGCTGTGTGTTGACCGTGAGCGGGGAATCGAACCCGGCTGGCACGGGTTCGAAGTGCAGTGCGCTAACCGCTACAAAGACAAAGATCCCCCGTATAGCCTTAACAGACTGTAGGGGCAAGTGCTGTTAGCGAGCTCCACTCCCCCCCCCCCACACACACAGACACACTCACTCACACACATCGTGCCCAGCCCGTTCAATACCTCCATGCACAACAGCCTCGCGTAATGTATTGATTTAAATGGGAAATAATGAAGAGGAAATGCTGGCTATTTTATTATTTGTCCTTTTCTACATTTGTTGTTTGTGTGCGTCTCTCCGCCTCGCTATGTCTCCTCGCGAGAGAGACGAGATGTCTCCGGCTGATTTGGCTTTTGCAGGGATCCTAATGATGCTCCTGCTACTGATTGTATTTGCTGATTGTAAATGGTGATAAGTGCTGCTGCTGATGATGGTGGTGATGGTAGTGCGCTGATGATGCTGCTGATGATGATAGTGGTGCTGATGATAGTGCTAATTGCGACAGTGCTGTGATGCCCGTGCATCACAGCACTGCTGCTCATGTTGATGATGCTGTTACTGACGCTGCTGCTACCGTTGCTGATGACGATAGTCGTGCTGTTTCTACTATGCTGCTACTGCTGATGATGGTGACGGAGATGGTGCTGATGATGATGATGGTGCTAATGATGCTGACGATAGGGATAGTTCTGTTGGCGCAACTGATTCGGGTGACGATGAGCATTGTGGTGGTGCTTGCTGCTGGCTGATGATGATGATGGTAGCGCCGCTCCTGTTGGATTTACTTCTTTGGAACATTACTTATTCATCCAGGAGAGACCCACACGCATCCAGGAGTCCAAAGACTCATTTTCAGGAGGGTTCTGCTGCTGCTACATTGGGGTTTTTTTTTTAAGATGTTTTCAACCCAATTGTTAGCGTCAAGTGTTCATCACCATACACTGAACACGTGAGAGGAAGAGAAACCCCTCCACGCATTGCGCGAGGGGACAACACCCTATCCCCGTACAGATGGATTACACGGATGGCGATGAGTCCAGTTGCTGTGCCGCCTTCTACCTGGCGAGCCAGGGGCATGGAACCTCCTGGAGGCCCACGGGAGAGGAGTTTCTCAACCCATCTGTGTGCGGTGATCCACCAAAAATTTCGCCGCTGCCCCCACTGCCATTGCGCTCAACCTTGAACAATTGCGAGTGCAACCCCGATGAAGACTCGGATGAGCTGGAGTTGAAAAGAAATCACGAACAAAACACCTCGTGAGAGACCCAGAAGATCCCCCCCCCGCCCTGGGTTTGATCTTCCACGAAGCTCGTGATCTACCCTACACCGCATCCAGATGCGGATACCTGGTGCACAAATTGAAAGTTAAAATACATTCCTGCGGAAGGAGCTGGTAGGAACGTTGGGTTGCTCGGTCAATGGCCAGGGTCAACGGCGGCGTGGTGTATTCCGCAAATATGCCCGACTGTGAGGGCGGGCACAAGCCGGCGTGAGTAGGTTAAACGAGTTTTATAAGGGCACCACGGGGTGACCAGCCCCTCCCCACCCAGCCCCTCCCCACCCAGCCCCTCCCCACCCTCCCCACCCAGCCCCACCCTCCCCACCCAGCCCCTCCCCACCCTCCCCTCCCCACCCAGCCCCTCCCCACCCAGCCCCTCCCTCCCCACCCAGCCCCTCCCTGCACGACGGACACAATAATCCCCTGTGGGCTGGTGTAACCAGGAGGTTCCTACCAGTAAAACTCTTCAGTAGTGCGACTGTGGTCATCCAGAAGCGACCGTGCAACGCATAACGAACGCAAATGCCCCCCCGTTCCACCAATACGAAGGAGACATCGACATCCATACACTCCGCCGCTCCTGACGAGGTTATTTGGCTTGACCATCTGGACATGAAAGTGTCGTCGTTGTTGTTGTTGTCGCTCTGCATCGACATCAGCAGCCACCCGGAAGGAGCACGAAGACAGTCCACGTGCAGCAGAGCCTTACACAACACAATAGGAATTTGCATAAAATCTTAAAATGCAAGTGCACCTCAAGACGCTGTGCAGTACTTCACGGCAGTACAGCCCCCTTGATTAATCCACTGCTGGATGGAGAGACCCCCCCCCCACCACTCCCCATGTCGTGTCCGTGGTCATTCATTCTTTGACCATACTTCGCCATGCTAGTCCGTAACCGGTTGGTAAAGATGGAATGAGGATCGGTTCAGATTTCACTCGCCCACGATGTTAGCCGTGACCGGGAACTGAACTCAGGTTCGCCGGGTTCGGAGTGCAATGCGCGAAACCAGTAGACCACCGCTCCACTCCCATTGCACAACTGCTGATGGGTGCAGCGGTGGTGCAGCGGTTAGCGCGCCGAGATTTCGTACGAACCTGGCCACCAGAGTTCGATTCCCGCTCACGGCCAACACCGGGAACGATGATCTGAACCGGTCCGGGGCCTCCTCGAGGTCGACTCAAATCTCAAATGAGTACCCGGTACCGTGTGTAAACATCGCTACTTGGGATATTACAAAAGCGGTCGTGCATGGTGCTGGCCACCCAACCCTGGCGTGATCCGTTTTGGTCATCACAGGTGCTCGCTTAACTCTTGTCCCAGCAGTGTGTTAAGGCTACACGGGGGACCTTTATCGTTGTATATACGTGTACGTGTGACCCTTGCGACAAGTGCGTGTAAAGACACGACGAGGGATCTTCGTCTTGTGTGACTTTGTAGGCGCGCGCGCGTCTTTGTGTTGGGAGCGGTGGCGTAGTGGTTAGCGTGCGGCGCTTACGACCCCCTGCCACCCAAGTTCGATTCCTGCTCGCGGACACCCAACGCCGATTATATCTGAACCGGTGCTGGGCCCCCGCTATGTCGACTCAGTCTCATTTCCATTGCCGCGCAAGGGCAATTAATGATGAGACAGTTGAGGGTTCAATTTTACCTCTCAGCTGTCCGGGGCAGAGCTCCGGAAAATACCCCCCTCTCCTCTCCTACCTCCCCCACCCTCCCCCCCACTTGAGGGGAGGAGGAAGGTTGCGGGGCCCTGGGACATATTGCATGGAATATGAAGACCTGGTACGGTGAGACAAAGGCGGACGTGGTAAACTAGACAGCACCACAGACAATAAGGAGGATTCAGCGGAGACAGCCTTTAACAGAGGCTGTTGGGGCGAGTGCTGTAAACGAGGGGGTGGGTGAGTCGAGCAACACGTCTGACCGCCTTTATCTCCCCAGTGCTGATGTGTACACATGTTTAGACATCAGCGCCAGGTACTCATTTAAGGCCGAGTTGACCGAGGGGAGTCCCATGACCAGTACAGATAATGGTCACCGATGTTGTGCCGTCGGAATCGGACTCGGGTCGCCGGGTTTGTAGCGCAGCGCGCTAACCGCTCCTTCACTGCTACAATAAAGAGATACACACACACGATATTCACACACACGATATTCACACACACGATATTACTGGTAGGAACCTCCTGGTTACACCAGCCCACATGGGATTATTGTGTCCGTCCGTCTGTCGTGCTGGGAGGGGCTGGGAGGGGATGGTGGGGCTGGGTGGGGCTGGGTGGGTCTGGGTGGGGAGGGGCTGGTCACCCAGTGGTGCCCTTATAAAACTCAACGTTTAACCTACTCACGTTTAACGC